TTAGGAGTTCAACATTGCCTACTTCATCAGGGCCTCTTCACACTTACTTCTCCATCACAAACTACAGCTTTCTACTGTTTCTCAAGCAACACTCTCATTTGTCTATTTTTAGTTAACAGATAATAGATATTTGTGGGGTATGTGATGTGATGTTTATGCACATGTGATGGAATGACTAAAGCTGATTAACATCCCCTCATTTTTTTTTTTGGTGAGATATTTAAAATTTACTATTAGTAATTTTGAAATATACTTTATTTGTGATGGTTAATCTGAATCATTACCTGGATTGGCTTAAGAGATGCTAAATATTTTAAGAGGCTTCTGGGTGTGTCAGTGAGGGTGTTTCTAGAAATGATTGGCATATGGGAAGACAAACGGAGGAGGAGCCCCACCTTAAATGTGGGCAGCACAGTCCAATGGGACAGAAGTCTGGATGGGAAAAAAGTGGTAGAAAATTAGGAAGCAGAAGCAGAAGCCATTGCAAGCTCCATTCACCTTGAGTGGCTCTTAGGATTGGTGCTATGATTGCCTGAGGACATGGGACTCCAGCTCCTTCATTCTTCATAAGAAGATTCTGACCAGAAACTCTCCAGGAGGTTTCCAGGCCTTTGGGATAGACTGGGGTTGCGTCATTTGGTCCCTCTTGTTCTGAGATTCCAGCTTCTTGGACTGAGCAGCAACTGGTTCTTTGAGCTCTCTAGTCTGTAGACGACCATTGTGAGACTGTCCAGTTCCCGGTTATGTAGGGCAATTTAATTAATCTCCATTTTATAATTATCCACCCATCCACCTACCTACCTACCTACTTATCTCCTGTTGGTTTTGTTTCTATAGAGAACACTCATACATTATTGTTAACTCTAAGTCAACATATTCTGCAACAGCATAATGTTCTCCAGGATCATCCTTGTCACAAATGACAGAGTATACCCAGGGCTCATTAGTATTCTGTTGTGTGTGGATGCCACATTTTCTTTATTCATTTATTTTTGATGGACACTTACGTGGATCTTGGCTGCTGTAACTAATGCTGGAATGAGCATAGAAGTGCAGATGTCTCTTCAATAAATTGATTTTATTTCCTTTGGATATACTTAGTAGTGAGATTGCTGGATCATATGGTAGTTGTATTTTTTTTTTTTGAGGAATCACAATATCGTTTTCCCTAATAGTTGCACTAATATTACATTAGTGTGGTCAGTGTTCCCTTTTCTCCACAGCCTCCCCAATGTTTTCACCTTTTTGATAATAGCCATTCTAGGGAAGTGTGTGGTTTTGATTTGCATTTTTTTAGTGATTAGTGATGCTTAACATTTTCTCATGAACCTCGTGTTAGCTTTTCACTGCAGACAAAATATCTGATATAAGCAACTTAAAGAAAGATTTATTTTGGCTCAGTGTTTCAGAGGTTTCAGTCCATGGTCTGCTTGCTGCATTGCTTTGGGCCTGAGGTGAGGCAGAACATCATGAGAGAAGAGCATGAGGGAGGAAAGCCTGCTCTTGTGGCAGCGGGGAAGGAATTAGGGATAAGATATTGCTCAAGCCTTCCCATTCCCTTCAAACTGTAGGTTCCACCTCCTATGGTTTCCATCACCTCCCACTAATTCATCTGAGTCCATCAATGGATAAATCCACAGGGTGGGTCCACGGGGACATTCTCTGTTTCCTAGCCTTCATGATCTAATCACTTCTGAAAAGTCATACCTTTGAACATTGTTGCTTTGGAGACCAAGTCTTCAACACATGGACCTCTGGGGGACATTTCAAATCCAAATAATCATAAAGCTGTTGTCCATTTCTATCTTTTTGAGAAACGCTTATTTATTTACTTTGTTCAGTAAATTGGGTTGTTTTCTAGGTATCGAGTTGATTTTCTCATATATTGTGGATTGTCCCTTCATTTTGTTGTTTTCATTGCTGTTCAGCTTTTTAAAAAATTGCTTTTTTTTTTAAATACATGACAGCAGAATGCATCACAATTCTTATTACACATATAGAACAAATTTTCAGATTTCTGGTTGCATACAAAGTATATTCACACCAAATTCTTGTCTTTGGATAATGATGTCTATCACAATCCACCATCATTGCTAACCCCCTGCCCCCTTCCTTTCCCTCCTACCCCTTGGCCCTATCTAGAGTTTGTCTATTCCTCCCATGCTCCCCCTCCTCCCTACTCCATTATGAATCAGCCTCCTTATATCAGAGAAAACATTTGGCATTTTTTTGGGGGGGGGATTGGCTAACTGCACTTAGCATTATCTTCTCCAACTGCATCCATTTACCTGCAAATACCATGATTTTATTCTCTTTTATTGCTGAGTATATATGCCACATTTTAAAATCCATTCATCTACTGAAGGGCATCTAGGTTGGCTCCACAATTTAGCTATTGTGAATTGTGTGCTGTGCAGCTTTTTAGTTTGATGTAATCCCATCTGTCTATTTTTGCTTCTGTTTTCTATGCTTTTGGGGTCATACCCAAGAAGTCATTGCCTAGATCAATGATTATGGAGTTTTCAGTTTTCCTGAGTGGTTTTAGTTTCAGTCCCTGTATTTATCCTTAATGAGTTGATTTTTGTATATGGTATAAGGTTCTGAATTCATTTTTTCTGCATGCAGGTATCTAGTTTTCCAAACACCATTTACTGAAGAGACCATCATATTTCCTTTGTGTATTCTTGGCAACTTTATTGAAAATCATGTTTGTAAAAGCTAGGTTTACTTCTGAACATTATCCTGTTTCATTGGTCAATGTGCTTGCCTTTAAGCCAATACTATTGTTTTGATTATGATACCTTTGTAGTATATTTGCACATCAAGTGGTGTGAGTCCTTTAACTTTACTCTTTCAGCTCAAGATTCCTTTGGCTATTTGGAGTCTTGTTCCATTTGAATTTTAGGATTATTTTTTCTATTGCAGTAAATCTGCTTTGGGTAGTTTGGTCATTTAACAATATTCTTTCAACTCACGAACACAGGATATCTTCCTGTTGTGTTTTCTTCAATTTCTTTCACCAATGTTTCAGTTTTTGGTATATAGACTGTTTACTTCTTTGGTTAGATGTATGCACATGTTATTTAAATTCCTTGATGTTATGGTTTAGATATGAAGTGTCCCCCCAAAGCTCCTATGTTAATGGAGGAATATTTTAAGGTGAAATGACTGGATTGTGAGAACTGTCACCTAATCAGTTCATCCTAGTTTGTATGGGCTAGGTGGAAACATAGGCAGGTGGGTGTGGTGAGAAGAGGTGGGTAACAGCAGACATGCCTTGAAAGGCTTCATCTTCCCTGTAACCTCTCTTTCTCTCTGCTTCCTAGCCATCATAAGGTGAGCAGCATTCCTCCACCATGTCCTTCCACCATGTTGTTCTGTCTTTCCTTGGGCCCAGAGAAAAGAGTTAACCTGCCATGGATGAAACCTTTGAAACCATGAGCCGAGCCAAAATAAACTTTCCCTCCTCTAAGTTGTTATTGCCAGGCATTTTGGTCACAGTGACAAAAAGCTAACACTCTTTGTTAAATTTATATCTTTTTAAGTTAAAACTCTTGGTCAGTGTTCTCACTTTAACAATAGACACCCTTTGAGGCTGAGAACTCTGATTCCTGTTGCAAAATTCAGCCAGTTCCATGACAAGGACTGTGCTTGATTTTCAGTCCTAACTTTAGGGAACTGATTCTCCCTCTGGGCACACCTAGAAGCTCTTAGATTATTTATGTAGCATCTGAGCTCCTATAGGAATTTGAATTTCTGAGTGCATCCTTTCATCATTTTGCCAGGACAACTGTAACTGTGTATGTATTTCTCATGTACTGAGTCACTATGTCACTTGCCTCTTGTACATGCATGATCAGGAGTATCCAATGTAGATATTTTGTGTATCTCCATAGAGTTCATGCTGTGGCTATCGGGGCTCTCTGTACTGTTGGAAATAGTCGTTAGTGTTTTTTTATAGTCTAATCACTACAAATTCCAGAAACCCCAAAACCAATTCAAGAAACTCATACTGAAATTTCGGCTCCACAAAACCATTCCTCGTATCAAAACTGTTAGGGTTCTCTAGAAAACAGGAGATCAAATAAATTATATGTTGATGGTTAGATACCAGAGAGGATTTATTACAGCAATTGGCTTATGCTATCATAGAGAACAAGTCCTATGATATACCATCTGCAAACTGGAAAACGAAATAGGCTAGTGACATATTTCAGTCCAATTTCAAAGACCTGAAAACCTGGGGGCTCCTGGTATCAGTCCTGGAGTTTGAAGGCCCAGGAAGGGGTTTTGATATCCAAGATGGCTGCCCTTGTTCCCCAAGAAAGTGAATTTGCCTTTTGCTCCATCTGGGTTCTCCTCCACTGTTTGGATGGTGCCCTTCCATATTGGGCGAGGGTAGATCTTCCTCCTTCAGTCCACTGATTCAAATACTAAATTCTTTTGGAAAAAAACCTCACATTCATACCTAAAAATAACCTATCTAATTATGGCTTAACCCAATCCAGTCAACACCTAAAATTAACCATCACAGTAGGAGAGGATCAATTATCTCTGGAGCTTTAATCTTCATGAAAGCATTCCTGTTTGAAATAGCCTAAATGTGTCTATCTTCTGTGCTGTCACCCTGAGAACAATGACTAAGACATAGGGTATGGTTCCTGATGTGTTTAGTTGTAACAAATACCTCTGATGATGCTTACAGATCTTTAATCTGAAAATATACCAATCTGTGCAAAGCTTATTCCAAAATAAAACACAGGTTATACTTTTTCTGTAAGGAATTATTTGATATTCTACACTTCCTTACGTTTCAGAACCAGCTTTTTGTGCTTGGAATAAATGACCACGTACAAGTGCAGTCAAAAGTGCAAAGGGTGGGATGGGAGCAGCTATATGTAGGTAGAACAGGCATGCTTATAAAAGACAACACACAAAAAAAGCACACACAAGTAATAATAAAAATAAATTATTTATAAATTAAAATTCTTTCACATAAAAACAGTAAACTATAATAATTTTACTATCTTTTTAGGAAAGATACATTAAAAATGTTGAATGTTAAGACAATAATTACATCCTTTATTTAATAACTTTCATACCTTACACTGGTTGCCCACAATTTCGCCAAGATCTAGGTTACCAGTCCTTCATAAAGTATTTACCCTGTAATTATTATTTTATAATTGCACTTATGTAATCACTAAATACTTGGCTGTGGCTTTTCCAAATTGAAATGTGCTATAAATATATATTCTGAAGGCTTTCTATGAAAAAAAATTCCCAAATTCAATTTTTATTTCTTACCTTTTTAAGTGTTGCTACTACAAAATTACAAATTACACATATAGCTCATACATTTCATTAGTGCTGGTCTAGAACTTTTAGAACAAACTGGCTAAAGCTTTCTCTCACATATTTCCTATCTGTTTTAAAAATGGGAATTGTAACATAACAGTGCAGCTACTTTTATGCATATCTGTATTTTTTCTAATGGACAGATATTTTTCAACAGAAAAGATAAAAATTATATTGTTCATAATTTTAGAATTACAAAAAATTAGGACACAGACTAAAACAATGGAAAATCAAACTCCCCTATTACTTGTTAAATGTATTTTCTACTTTCTATCGGGTTAAAGAAAAAAAGCCACCTAGAGGAAGTAGCAGAAAACTAGGAGGACATAAGAATTCACCATCTCAATTACAATTCTCATCTCAATTACTAGGGAAATTCTAACTTGGCTAGGATCCAGGAGATGTCCATGCCACTGGGCTTACAAGCTTTTACTCATTTTCATGAGAAAGAGGAAGTGTTTTTCTGTCACAAAGAAAATTAAGAATACATACTTGGTCAATAATAATGTGGCAGAGAATGTGCAATTTCTTTTTCTTTCCATTTCTAGAATGTGAGACCTTTTATAGTAAATCTTAACTAGTTATAAGCATCTGACATTAAGGAACCTGTCCATAGTCATTTAAAATGTGATTAGTTAATGCTTTTTGTTAAAAACATACCATGATGCTTTTATTTACTTATTTTCCCTGTTAGTGCAGATTATTTTAAAATGTTGCTTTGGTGTTGTTTGCTTCTGGCAGACACTTAATTGTCAAAAGCTGTCTTTCCGACAATAGTACATTTTCATCCATCTTTAGACCTTTCAATGAGGTCATATGAATCTGAGTTTCTAGCAAAACTTTGGTGCATTTACTTGATTTGCAAAAGCAACTGGCACAACCACCCCCTGCCGGTGCAGCTCCCGAAGGACATCCAGTATTGAGTCTAATTCTGTGCGAAATTTGTCCAGCTCGTAATTCTTCAACTGTGCGAGTTTTTTCCATTTCTCAATTTCTTTGTTTTGCTCGGTTTCCACAACTTGGTGTGTTTGCTGTATTATCTGCAAATACAAAAGCCTCATATTATTTTTAGTTTACAATGGGAGTGAAGAACATTTCAGTCATAAAGAGCTAAAATTGGACAATGCTGGCGTTTCTCTGGGATACTCAGGCCAACCATAAAATTCTGCATGTATATATTGTTTTCTGTCTCTTAAGGGGTATATAAATTTTCATTGTTATAGACTGAATGTCTGAGTTTTCCCCAAATTTTAATGTTTTAAAAGTCCTAACCCTTGGTGTGGTTATATTTGGAGCAAAGAAATAAGACTAAATGAGGTGACAGGGGTGGGGCCCTGATCTGATAGGACTGGTGTCCTTCTAAGAGCCATCAGAGAGCTCTCTCTCACCTGTTCTCCCTTTTCTTGGTGTGCATGCACCAAGGAAAAAGAAAAGAGAACACAGAAAAGACTGCCATCTGCAAGCCGGGAACATATCTCTTACCGGAAACCAAACTGACCAGCATCTTGATCTTGGACTTTTGGCCTCCAGAACTAATGGTCATTTTGGCCATCCTAGTACATACTATTTTGTTATGGCAGCCTGAGCAGACTACACACTGTTCAAGCAAAGATAAATATCAGCACCAAGGCAAGTACCTTAAAACATATCATATCCTTATATATGCTATTTTAAATTTCTATCAATTTATCTGTTTATAATTAAATGTAGTAAATATATTACTAGGTATATTTTAATGGTCACAATTTATTGGAAATTTGTTACAAATATTTGTTGAAATCACTTGAATATGGAATATTGTTCCTATCCATATTCCTGTTCCCCGGGTAAGATGTAAAACTTCTTAGGCACTAATCAATAATTAAGAACACAAGTTTTTTTCTTTCTCCAAATATAAGGCAAATCAACCTTCAAAGTATTTGAGATAAAGGCTTATTTTCTCTTAAAGAGCTATAATTTATTTTTTAACAAGATCAAAATAAAATAAAACACTCTAAGAAGTAACTTTTGGTAAGGGTATCTTAAAACTATAGAAAGTAAGGCACTTAAAAGTTAAAGATTATAAAATATGTAAATGTGATCTACTACTTTACCTGTTGAAGTTCCTGTTCTCTTTGCTTATGTCTCATTTCCATCTGCTTAATTTTCTTTTCTAAGCTCATGAAATGTTTCATCTCTGGTGTATGGTTTTCTTTGGCTTCTCTCAATTCTTCTAAGAGTTTTGCAATCTAAAATTAAAATTAAAGTATGAAGTAATTGAGAAACTATGATCATAAGAAAATAATTCCTTTTTAAATAGGTAATCTTAAAAATCAAGAACAATTGTATAAAATTTATCTAGATAAGAGGCATCTTGGATTCTTTAATAACTTCCATTCCTTATGTTCAGGAAGTAAAAACATCTTGTTCTCACATTTGAAGAAGTTCTAGATGATTAGAGCACCTTCTCCCTCCCACATATTAATCTAGTTTAGGGGCTCAAAATGAAGTTGGGCATTTTCTTTAGTGCATTCATCCTGCTACAAAATATTAACAAGGTGATTACTGTTAGGATAAAAAGGGGCGGGGGGGAAACCATGTAAAGCACCCAACCCAGTATAGTGTCCAATGCACAGAATTCAACTCCATGTAATTTTATTTGTAATTCTCCTACTGTTGTTTAAAAATATTTTTTTGTAGATTATTTCACAAGTAAAGATACGTATATAAAGGAAAGATAATGAAAATCTGAATTCTCTCTGTGTTGATTGCTATCTTAGGACCTGGGGATGTAGCAATTGATAAAAGACATAGTCCCTGACCTTCTGGAGTTACAATCTAGTGCAGAACCTGTGTTTCTATACCACAGCCCACATAGAAAATGGTGATGTTTAATACCACTTAGGAGTAAAAGGGAGGGGACTTTAGGGGCTTATATATTAGGCTTAGTGAAACAATTAACTGCATTTTATTTATGCCATATAATCTTAAAGAAATTCCATAAGGAATCAGATTCAGCTAATTGTTAACATCAAAAGGAGTAATAAACAAAAAAATGGCGTAAAAGTAACAAATTCAGTCATATAATATGGAAACACTATTACCTTATAACAATGATAGTGATACTAAAAAAAAAAAATCACAAACCTTACCTAAATTAGTTGGGGGGAAAAAAGTGAAAGTAAAAGCTAATTAAATTAGAAGCAAACGAAATATTTTAAATGTCAGCCCTGATGATATCACTAGTCACCAAAGAAACATGCAGTCTCTGAGATGATTTGCAGAAAGTGCAGAGGACTTATATAGTGATGGGTTCTGGGCATAAAATTCTTTTGTTTAAAAACAAAAACCAAACCCAACTACGATTACTGAACTAAGAAAGTTGATATAGGCCTAGTCATACACAGAATGATCAAATGTTATTTCAATGTCTACAAACTTTTTTTGGGGGGGAGGGGGGTGTTGAAGATTGAATTCAGGGCCTAGGCAAGTGCTCCACCACTAAGCTGTATCCCCAGTTCTCTAAACATTTTAGTGGATGGAAAAAAAATTTTGAGTTTTCTGTCATATAACATTCTCAGACATTTATATTTATAATATATATATTTTTACACCTGTAACCCCTTCATGGCCTTAACAGTAAAGTGCGTGTGAATTCTAATATGGTGTGTATGATGGAGAGATGGCCAAGGAGCAGTGAGTTGGTCAGTGAGGGATACCTAACTCAAAGCAGCAGCAGGCTGGGGGATTCCCAATATAGCTGTAAATGGATTGAAACCTAACTGACAAATCTTAATAGGTAAGTACTAGTGAGTCAGTGCTAGTCACTATGTTAACAACATACAGTTGTGTCATTTAATTTTATTTATTGCCTGATTCCCCAAATAAAATGTAAGCTCCTCAAGAACAGGAATTTTTGTCTACTTTGTTCTCCCGAGTATTTGTAGTACCTATAGTTGTGCTAATGCTAACGTTTTTTTCTATATGTTGGTTAGTAACTGGGCAAGTTATTTCATGTTCTTAGCATCACTCTCCATCTAAAAATGAGAATAATAGTACCTAGCCTTTTGGGTTGTGGTAAGAATCAAAGTAATGCATATAAAGTACTTGGTGCAAACTAAACACTAAGTATTTATTACTATTATTATAACTCTTCTATTTTTAAAAATATTAAGTTCTAACAAAGATGTATTCTGATTGCCATGGAAAGATAACTGGATTAGCTATTATGTTAAAAAAGGCTTTAAAATCACATACATGCACATATATATAATAATATTTGTTTTTACATGTATGTACATGTAAGCATATAACCTTCACACTATTTGTACCTTTCTATGTATGTATGAATAGAAAAAATTCAAAATTATATAGCAATATCTATTTCTGGATAGTGGGATTATATATAATTTATATCTAATTTATAATACTAATTAATATTAGTATAGGAAAGATTATAATGAATACTTTACAGGAATAGAAAATAGCATCAGTAAAAAGTATGAAATTATGTGTTCCTTAGTGAACAACAGTCTCATGTTACCTTCTTAGTAGTTTACTATTTTACTAAGGGGAAAGAGTGAGTCACTTAAATGATGTCACTAAAGGTGGGTGAAACAGACGTGGTTGACTGTTTGCAGAAGGTGGCTCAGGTGGGGGAGTTAAATGATCTGAGTGTAGCCAAGAGATGATTCCCAGATAACCCTTTTATTCTGTACCACAAAATTATTGCTATTTTTACCATTTTTAAAAGAGGCTGGTTTCTTTGTGTCTATATAATTTTCAATCATCATACAAAGATTTCCTGCTTTATAACTATTGGCATGATGAGTTTTCCTGGTTATTTTGCAGAAGGAGCTGCTGGTGACCATGAGCAATTAGTCCAGATGGTTGAATCTAATCCCGAAGGTAATGAAGGAGATACTGGACACTGCCTCTTTAACTGACATTCCCTTCCGCTGCTTTGCTGGCAAGTCCCTGAGACTGTTTTTAGGTGTTCAAGTGACTCTAGGGTAAGTTCTGTTTAGTTTAAGCCCATTAACGCTGTCCAGTCTCCCTTGGAAATGATGGGTTTAGGAGTTAGAATGTGACTCAGTTCTAATTCAGAGGAAGTTAACTGGGAAAACATTAATCTGCTGGGTTATTTTTCTTTCTCATTGGCCAGAATGCAAGCTCCTTGAAGAGCATGCTCTTTCCTTTATCCAGGTACTAGGTGTGTCTAGAGTTATGTGAATCTGCTCCTGAGGCTGAAGAGTGATAAATACTACAGTCTGGATCTTAAGTCCTCCTCAAAGGCCCATGTATGTGTTAAAGGCTTGGTATCAAGTTTGTGGTTCTGCTGGGAGGTAGCAGAAACTTAAAAATTTAATAATATTTCCACATCTTTATGGGGCACACTATGATAATCTGATACAGGTATACAATGTGTAATAAATAGGTAGTAAGTACTTGTATCTCTTCAAATGTGTCTTGGGAGTTTTGTACTCTTTAGTCATTTTGAAATATGTCATTTTAGCTAACAGTTACTCTACTCTTCTACCGAAATCCAGAACACATTTCTCTGCATTTTGGTGCCCATTACTATATTTCATTCTGTCTTCCTTTTCAGTCTCTACTGACCAATATTCTATTCTGTTCTGTAAGAATGACATTTTAGTTTCCACAAATGAGAATATGAGGTATTAGTCTTCCTGTGTCTGGCTTATTTCACTTAAAATAATGATCTCTAGTTCCATCTATGTTGCTACAAATGACGGGATTTCATTGTTTTTTAAAGCTGAAAAACATTCCATTAACTTAAGTGGTATGGCAATGAACATGGGGGTACAATTTTCTTTTTGCTGTAATTATTTCATCTCCTTTTGATGATAACTATTCTAAATGGCGTGAGGTGGTATCTCAGTGGTTTTGATTTGCATTTCCCAGATGATTAATGGAGACTGAGCACTTTTTTTCCATATACGGTTGTCCATTTATGTGTTTTCTTTTATTGAGGACTGTCCAGATCTTTCACTATTTATTTATTTATTGTGCTGGGGATTAAATCCAGGACCTTGTATATACTAGGGAAATGCTCTACCACTGGCTCTATCCCTAGCCTCTGCCCATTTTTAAGTTAGAGTCTTACTTTTTGGTGTTCAGTTTGAGTTCCATAAATATTCTGGATATTAATCCTTCTTAGATGAATAATGTTCAAATACTTTTTTTACCATTCATGGGTTGTCTTTTAACTCTGTTGATTATTTCCTTTGCAATAAGCTTTCCTGTATAGAAGCTGCTTAGTTTGAAATAATTCCATTTGTCTCTCTTTACTTTTGGTGCATTTGGGGTCCTATCAAAAAAAAACCCAAAAAACAAAAAACAAAACACCATTGCCTACATCACTACCTTGAAGTTTCCCCATGTTTGTGTAATTTAACAGCTTCATGTTTTACATCTAGGTTTTTTTTTTTTAAATCCCATATAAAGTTGATTTTTGTGTACTATGAGTAAGGATCTACTTTTATTCCTCTGCATATATACATCCAGTTTTGCCAACTGAAGACACTGTTCTTTCTCCACTACAAGTTCTTGGTGGCTTTGTCAAATCAGTTGGCTGTATGAATGTGGTTTAGTTTGAGTTCTCTATACCCTTCCATTGGTCAATCTATGTGGTTTTTTAGAGCTCTGTAGTATGTTTTGAAGTCAGGTATTACGGTATCTCTAGCTTTGGCTTTTTTCTTAAGCTCAGGAACACTTTGGTTATTTTGGGTCTTTGTGGTTTCACAAATTTTAGAATTTTTAAATTTTTTTGTTTCTGTGAAGAAAATCATTGGTGCTTTGGGAATTGCACTGAATCTATAGACCACAGTGAACATTTAACAATATTAATTCTTCTGATCCATGAACACAAGATACATTCCAATTTTTTGTGTTTTCTATAATTTGTTCCATCAGTGTTTTATAATTTTGATTGTAAAGATCTTTCACTTCTGTGGTTAAATTTATTGTTAATTTTTTTTGTATTCATTGTACATAGATTTTTTTATTAGTTGCTCAAAACATTACAATGATCTTGACATATCATACATTTGATTCAAATCAGGTATGAATTCTTATTTTTCCATGTGAACAGATTGCAGTATCACATTGGTTTTACAGCCACATTTATACATACTGCCATACTAGTGTCTGTTATATTCCTCTCCCTTCCCTCTACCCCATCTACTGTAACACATTTCTTTTTTTCTTCCCCTTCCCACCATCTTAT